GTATATTTCTTTATTTATTTGCACTCAACCCCATTGATGACATCCTCTCCCATGGAATCAAATGTGACTCTCACCAACTTGTACACATCATAACCCTTTTGGATCTTATGTTTCTCAACAAATTTTAACGTTTCAATTGGCCAAAGAAAAAAAGTAAATGAATATTGGAGTGTAAATCATCACAAATTAATAAAATTTAAAATCGTACAAAATAAAATCAATTCTTCACAAAGCCAAATCTCAATGTAGGGTGAAGGATATAGAAGACTACTTAGAATTCATGAGAAAGATATGACAAAATACGGATTTCATATATAAAAATAAGTTTACAAAATAAATAAAAAACTTATCTCACAATCCTTTCCAAGAAAATCCCTGGAAATTCTCTGCAAGCACTTTCTCTTTTTACAAGCACTCCCAATTCTCTCTTAAAAAAAGTAATGAAGAAGAAATCTCTCACCTTCTCTCTCCTTTTTATAATCCTTGAAGAAAATCTCCAAGCCCTTGACTTTCTCTCTCTCTCTCTCTTACTTTCTTCGAAAATCCCTCACACGCCTCCTCTTCAAGCCCTAGACTTCCCTCTCTTTTACTAGAGGCTACCTTCCTCTAAAAATTTTATGCAAAAGTTAACCCTTTTGAATTCAAAAGACATGTATATTGATTCAAGAGACATATCCCTTCATTATCCCTTCATAAAAAAAAAACCTTCCAAAATGTATAAATGCATTGAATCACTTCATGGCTATTTAAAACAAGTGTCCTATTCAAAATTTGAGTAAAATTCGTCCTGAACTGCCTTAATTCTCAAAAAAACATCTTTGGCGCCTCAGGAGCTGATTATGGCATTTCAGGCGCCATCCTACTTAATACCGCATTGTTCTGGGATTTGGCGCTTCAAATGCCAAATCTGGTACTTCATGTGCCAGCTCTCTATCAAATGGCACTTCAGGCACCAATACTGGTGCTTCAGACGCCATTTCTGGCACTTCAGGCGCCAACTCTCTATAAAATGGTACTTCAGGAGCCAGAATCTCAAAATTCGTTGTTTTGGCTCCAAATTTTGTCTTTTTTTGCTACTTTTGCTCCGAATGCCTAAAATTGATATATCTGCAACAAAAACATGAAAATACCCTTCTTTAAGGTGCAATATCACTAAAAATAAGCATAAAATTTATACTTAAAATAACATATTATTTTGGTGTATAAGCAGTTATAGCAACATGAGTTCCAGGATTTCAGGGACTAACGAAGTTGTTTTGTGTTACTGCGGACTACCGGCTCTGTTACTCATGTCATGTCAACCTCACAGCAATGGGAGACAGTTCTACGGTTGTCGCAGGGGCGTTTCAGCTCATTGTGGTTTCTTCTGTTGGGCCGACAGTCTAACATATTGCACTGTCAACAGTGTCGGAGCATGATGATTTCCCATGGTGACAGTGCAGCTGAGGACAGCGCAGCCAGAGTTTTAAATTGAATATTCTAATATTTTTCATTGTAGTTGTAATTGTGTTTATCTTTATTTTATTTCTTCTGATATTCACGAGAGTATAAGCACTCTATGTTATCTTATTTAACTGATTTATAATGATTTGTGGGATTTTTTATTTATTTTTGTACCCATACAGTTCTGCTGCAAACAACTTAACCAAATAGAGGCAGAATGGTCATTTATCCAACAAGAGCTGCCAGTAAGCTGTTCTGAATAAGCTGCCTCAAACAACAAGTCAGTTTATTATGATAATCTGCAGATTATCAGATTATCAAAATAATATGTTTATCAGCAGATTATAAATAATCAACAGCTGTCCCAAACAGACCCTTAGCCTCTTATGTGCCCGTGCAGATGAGAATGTCATTCTCATTATTAATGTGGTTGAGTATGGTTCTAAATTGCTCTTTATGCTCTACTTTGATTTATTGTGAATATATATGTTTAATTTCAAAATATCATGCGAGTCAAGGCCAAGAAAAAAAATGTTTGTTGGATAAGAAGAATAAAAAGAAGTGCAATAAAAAAAGTACAAGTCACAAGTATTATATATATATATATATATATATGCGTTTTGATTTTTGAAACAAATGAAATGAGACCGAATTTATCTCATATATCTGATAGTTTAAGTAGTTGAGCACATACCATAAGTAATACACAACCCCAAGAAATGAATGTATCACTTGTTAGTAAGTTTAATTATTTAAAATAAGCAGTTTATGACTTTATTTTGGTCTGTGGAATTTATGAACAACAATTCTCCTACCTAATATAAAGATTAGATAGGGTTTAGAATATTTGGGTTCCTAATTCCCTATAGAAGCAAGCCTCTGTAGTTAACTACATCCTAAATGACCGAAGTCACTTAAAAAACTCTCATTTAAGATCAGAGATTTCATCTTCAAGAATTAAACATTTAGTTTTCACGGTTGCTTATAGAAATTTCAAATGGGAAAGGCTCACTGTAGAGTTGTTATTTTGGGAATCTAAAGAAGCGAAAAGGTGGGAGATGACACAGATTCTGAGGTGGGCCTTACTGACTTCCTGGACTATCCTATGATTTGGCTCTACACCTTGGAGGTGATATTATGTTATCTTTACTCGTGTCTTCTTATTAGAATATTAGGTCAGTTTGTTGGTAGTGAGGGCGATCCTCGAATAGTTAAGCACATGAGGGCAGTTAGGGGCTCATATAAAAGCCTCTAGCCATTATATATATAGATATATATATTATTTGGTAGTTTGATAATGCTCATGTCAAATTTGAATCAAAATATAATAATCTTCTTTATATTATATTATGGAATTATTATGATTTATTCTATTTATGTATTTATTAGTGCCTAAAGTGGTTTTTTTTCTTTTTTCTTCAAGATGACTTTGAAAGCAATTGGAAAATAAAAGTATAGTGTGATGCACAAGGTGGGATTTAGCTATAGAAAACTATGAAAGATGTTTTCTTTGTAGTTGTGAAGATGATATTACTATGAGTATGCTTTAAAGCAGGCAAATGTAAATCTCAACTATTTAAAATTTTGCTTCCATAGAAAATTTTCTAAAATGCAATTGATGGCTTCAATTTGAGCATCAATTGGGGCTTGAATGACACAAGAAAATTTATGATTAGCTTCTAACAATATTCATAATATATATATATATATATATATATAACAAGGAAGTTCGACAGTGTTAGTGTAGATATGTAACAAGGTAAAGATACATCTGAAATGAGAATCATTTGTTTCAAATGCATTTGCAAACTTTAAAATAATATTTAAAAAGAGATCATATAGTCGCATGATATTCTTAAAAATTTATCACAAAGTACATCATATAAAAAAAATTTTTCCCAATAGAGAATTTGATTATGCATGTGTCCTTGACAAAAAATGTTAATTCCTTTATGAATATAACTACTATTATATAGATTAGCATGCTTAACAGTGTTCAATTAGAGAGATTTACTAAATTACATAAGATTATATTCTCAGTACATCTGTTATTTATAATTTCATAAACAACCTTGTCCATAAATTGTTTGATGTCACTAGATTTCATGGAGCTAACATCACCTTATCATGTATGCAAGGAAAAAATTCAACCTCATCCCTTTAAACATCCTTAAATTTGTTACTGATTCACAATGTCAAACTTTGATTATCGATCACTTTTTATCTATACATTAGTTTAACCAATATTTGGTTTGTTTATTTATCATTTTTATCTCTCCATTGAAAATAATAAAAGAAACCTCAATAGGCCAAGCTCTGAATAAGCATTGTTGTGAAGACTTCAATTTAATTTAGACTTTCTTGCTTTGATTTCCCTTCTGCATTCACAATCGGTTTGGAAGGAAGCGAGCATGTGTTTTAAATTGAGAGTGATTTTTGTTATTCCCAATTAATTGTTGATTGTTAGGAAGCCAAGGATTGCAACTTAATTGAAGTTCTACTTTGTATGTAAAGTTAATGACTTAATATAAAGACCAAGTTGAACTCATTTCAGATTTATCTAAGATGATCACTTTCAATTCTTCAATGTATTTAACAATAGCTTCTTGTGTGGACTTTAAGGCAGTATAATTCTTAGAAATTCATGGTGTAAGCACTTGCAAAAAGAGAAAGCTATGTAATGTTGCTAATGATGATATAAAAGTTGCACATATACAAAGGAAGGAAATGGCCTCTTAGCAATTTTTTTCATCATTGGTCCAAATCTCGCATTGTTCTTGCCTTCATGATGTCGAGATTAACATAGTTACAACCACTAAGTGTACCCTTATGCCACAAATTTAACCTACTTGTTTAGTGGGATCTTCATGTACTCAAAGAAAGCATTCATGGCTTATTTATTAGTGCATAAAGTGGTTTTTTTTCTTATTTCTTCATGAAGACTGAGAAATTAAATGGAAAATTAAACTATCATGTCAAAAAATGCATAAGAAAGGTTTTTAGCTATATAAAATTTTGAAAGGTGTTTTCTTTATAATTGTGAAGATAATAATACTATTAAGTAAATTTTAAAGTAAACAAATGCAAATCTCATCTAAAATTTTGCACACTAAAGACCCATGCGAATTTGACCATCAATTTGAGTACAGAATGCAGAAGAAAATTTAAGTTTAGCTTCTAACAGTATTCACAATATTTTCAAAATTAGGAGGTCAATCTAACATCTCTATTAGAAATAATGTTTAATGGGAGCTCATATGGTCATATGATATCCTTGAGAAATGATCATAAAGTGGTCATATAAAAATGTTTTGCCAATAGATAATGTGACTTTGCACATGTCCTTGACAAATTCCTTTGTGAACATAGCTAGCATTATATAGAAGAGCATGCTTAACAGTGTTCAGTTGGAGATATTCAACTATAGTATTTAGATTATATTCATAGTGCATCCTCTATGTATAAGATATGTATAAGAAAGTCAGAGACAGCCTTTTCCACAAATATTTTGATGTTGCAAAGTCTACTAAAGCTCAAAAGTAGAGAATGATACACTATCAAAAAACAAGCCTTTTTTATTTAAAACCATACAAAAAAAGACAACTCATGAACCAATAAGCTTTATTTAATCATCAACATAGAAGTTTAACAACCAACTCACCCCCTACTCTGGCCAGATTTATTCATACAATATAAGCTTCTGCGCCATTCTCCCCCGACAGAAAAACACCCCTATATCCAGATATCAGAAGTGCAGTCACCTCCAGGGTATCTCATCTCATGGGCAAGCGAGGGGCCGTCAGGTTCGCGTCCAAAGTCGACGAAAAAGTTTGGATTCAGCTTCAGCCCGCCCTCATCCGTGTCAACATCGATTTGAAGCATATGGGAGCCTTTCTGGACAACCTCTGGGTAGAACTGCTTGTCCCACACGCTAAAGAGTGAGTTGGTCACATAGAGTCTCTTTCCGTCGAGGCTCAGCTGGATCATCTGAGGCCCTCCTCGAAGCCGATTTCCCTATCCAAAGCATGCATTATTTGGTTGCAAAAAACCTAAGTTATTTGTATCTATTTCGCTGCTGCTTCGTGAAGAAAATGAGCCATCAAGATGGTTGGTGTGACTAACCTTAATCTCGGGCACATCGAATTGTGCTTCGGATCCATCGTCGGCGATGTAAACCACATCGCTTCCTTTCTGAATCGATCCGCCAACCCAAACCTGGCCGGTGAGCACAGGCTTGAGAGGATCCTCAATGTTATACTGCCTGATATCACCATGCAACCAGTTGACAAAGTAGAGGAATCTGTCATCTAAGGAAATGAGGAAATCAGTTATGAGCCCAGGCATGTCAGGGAGAATCCAGTTCTTCACCTTAAGTGGTTCCACTGATATCGCCACCTACCGAACATAAAAATAGAGATTTTTAAATTTACATTTAATAATTTTTTTTCTTAAAAAACAGCATTCTATAAACTAAACTGTTAAAATTGATACTGTTTTCAATATTTTAAAAATAAGCAGACTTATATGCAAACACTTAATTCATATGTATTTACATATCTAAACCTAAATTTCAGTTTTTACTTATATACCATCTTACTTGCACATAAAAAAATGAGTAAAATAGGAATTTTATATGTGCTGAAAAATAGGAAAAACATAAAAATTTCCTTTAAAAAAAAAGAAAGCTTTTCAGGTTATAGGAATTTAATATTTTTAAAAGGCATTTGCATACATACCACCCAATTCCTATGTATTTACATATTTAACACTTAAGCTTTACTTATTTACATTTATACCAACCAAATCTTTCATATCACATCAGAAATATCACTATTTTAACTTTTAAATATTGAAATACATATTCTCATCTATAAATAAGATGATATATAAGTAAAAATTGTGGTTTAAGTGCAGATATGTAAATACAAATGAATAAGTGGTATGTATGTAAATCTGCTTATTTTTAAAATATTAAAAAACAGATTTGTCACCACTTGGTGACAACATGGCTTTTAAATTTGTTTTTCCAAAAATGTTATTTTTTAACAAAAACTTTATTTACGTGTCCATTTTAATTTTTTTCTTCCAAACGATATATTATCAAATACAGTTACTCCATAGGGGCAAGGTTTCTGAAACAAGAAGACCACATAATCAATCAGCAAAGATAAATTCACCTCATGACTCCATGATCCATCTTTGGTCTTGAAGAACCTCACCATGTTACTGGTCAGAGCGCACCCTACAAAGCCGGTATCTTTCAAGGGGTCGTGCAAAAACCTAATCTATAAAGTTAAATCATAATTTGAGTCCTCAAAGTTCGCTAAATTTGCAAAGCTTCTCATCCCTACCAAATAAGATTGAGCTCTGTACTTACTTCTAAAGGTAGGAGACCGGTATCGCCGAGGTCCAAAGTCTGCTTCAGTTCTCCATCAGACCAGCTGTAGACATGGAGATGCCTCCCGTAGAGTCCATTGGTGACGTGCTCGAGATTAAATCCTTTACTAAAAGCTGCCGGAGCTCCCCACGACGTACTAATCATCGTATTGTGCCGAGGTTGATACCAGTAATCGTATCCAAACAATGGGCTGTGACCTGGTTTCTCCCACCTGTTGTAATTAAAAAAAAAGATTTAATTTCTTTCCAAAATAATTGTTCTGCAAAAAATAAGCTACTTTTTGAACAAAGATTTGAAAATATTTCACAAAACTTTCCAATAAGTTTCTCAAGCTCCTTTATGAAAAGAAGCTCAAACAAACAAAGTCCATAATTGATTTTATAATGGAAATATGAGTAAAGCGTCAAAATAGTCATCTGATTATTTACAACAGCCCATTTTAACCGCAAAATATATAAAAGCATCAAATTAATATTAAACTCTTTTAATGGGAGCTAAAATAATGCTCCATGTGGATTATTTCAACCATATTAAGAGAGTTTGGGGATAAAATTAACATTTTTTTAGACTCTTAAGCTTAAAATGATCCTCTGCAAAGAATTTATCTATAGAAAATTTATACAAATTACTAAAAGATTAAATATGATACATGAACAACATAGAACTGAAAGGTCATCTAAGGAGAAATCAACACCTTCCTTTGATATTAAAATCAGAATCCAATAGGAGAAAACCATTCCCAGCTGCATTGCCGTCTTTGTCACCAAGGCAAGACACCAAAAGGTCACCGGATGCAAGACAATGTGACGTGTGAGGATACGCCAATCCGGTTTCCCGCACAATATCCTCAGGCTCAACTATCTTATGCAAAGCGGGAGCCATTGGATCTGTAGCAGTGTCGACAGCATAAATACGACCAGATCTGATGGCATATAAACCATGTTAATCGATCAGAACGAGACGAGAACTAAATTTTTTATACAGAATAAGCGAAGATGAGTCGTCATAGGAGAGATCCATAAAGTGGGTGGATTCAGACTTACATCAACGAAGGCAGGATTAGGTAACGTCTATCAACTGATTGATCACCATGGCAAGAGCTGCAGGCATTCCAGCCTGAGTGATGCAGTTCGTCGCCTACATAGGGAGCTGGAAGTCTATGGATGACTTGCGAAAAGGTTGGTGAGTTAGGATCAACATCCACTGTTGCCAAGTAATCAGGCTTGCCCTTTTCATTAGTTCCTGAATTACAAATTACTTAAAAGATTAGAAAATGAGAAAAGAAACAGTAAAGCAACAATAGTCTGTCATATATGAACCCTAGTATCTAATCTGTGATCTAGGGTTAACACTCATAAAGATTTAAAAATGTGTTTGTAAACATTTTTAGGATGTGCAAGCATACTGTAACTTGCTTTTTCTTATCATAGTGGAAGATGATGATGAACTTGTTTCTCAATCAGCCAATTTTCAAAAAGAATTAAATTAGGATTTATAAAAAATCGTCAATTTATGGAAATAGTTCAAGTCATATAGAACAGATTTGTAGGATCCATTAGGATCTCTGCAAATTAATTCATATATAATCTTAATAATTTTTAACATGATATGACCAAAATTAACAAATCCCTAGAGTTCTAAAGACTTCTACCTCTTGTGGATGGAGAGAAACTTCAAGTCGTGTTTGGGTTTGTTTTGATTGTTTTTTTTTTTTTTTTTGGTTTTTGTTTTTTTTAAAATAAATTTAAAATTCATATTTGGAAAAAACTAAAAAGAAAAATTTTATTTTTGTTTGCATAAAACTCTATTTAATCATAATCATTGCATCGCATTACAATTAATTATAATTAATATGTAGTTAATTAACTCTTAATTCTAGTATAAAAAGTTTAATTAATTTTTATTCATCGCAGTCATAATTAAATATCAATAAAAGATCCATACTTCTAATTACAATATAGTTAAATCCTACTTAAATAAATAATTGAACCAATTATTCTTGCTTCTTAATCAACAATTATTTATCCCAAAATTAATTATCAATAATAAACAATAATAATAAAACCTTGATAATCTTAACTGAAACTCTAATAATTTTAAAATTATCCTAGATAATAGTTAGTTATAAATTATTTTGGATCATTAATTAATTATTTTAATGATCCAAGCTTAATTACCATAACTAAAAACTAATAAAACCTTAGTTATTATCGAATTAAAAATCTAACAACGCATAATCAGCTCAGTAAATGGTCAATTATCAATTACACATGTCAATTATTCAATAATAAATTATCCTAAGTCTATTTATTAAGATTAAACACTAATAAAACCTTAATGGGCTTAATAAATCCTAATCAGTTCCTAATTAACCTAATAGATAGCTAGTTTGACCAATAATCAATTAATTACTGATCTAAACCTAGTTACATAACTAAACTAATAAAAACTTAATAATCTTAATTAAAACAATAAACCCAAAAATAGCATGATTAATGTCAAATCAAACTAATTAATCCAAATGACCCAAACCTATTTCCAAAACATATAAACCAACCATATGAGTGTTTTCACAATTTCTGTAAAAACCCCACTTCTTCTAAACAAAAATAAAACAAAATTGTGAGACTTTACTTTTACTATAGTAGGGGATTGAAAAAAAAAAGGGAAGAAATAGAAGAGAATAAAAAAATTCTTAGGGCTTGTTTGGGATCAATTTTGTTTTTTATTTTTGTTTTTCCTTTAGTTTTAAAATATTTTTATTTAATGTGTTTTTAATATGTTTTTTTTTTTTTGCTTTTAGAAACAAAAAAAACATATTTTTTTAAAACACTTAAAATAACTTGTGTTTTGTGTGTTTTCAGAAACAACCATATCTTAATCAAATATACAAAACATATTTTATTTCAAATCAAAATATAAATAAAATAAGATAAAAATAAAAGATAGAAAACAAAAAATAAGAGTGATCCCAAACAATCTCATAGAATTTGATAGGTCAAGAATAATCTATATAGATGTTTTCAAAACAGCAAGCCCAAATGGAATATGCAATAGTTCATTTTTGCCTCAATATACAAAGAGAAGCAACACTTTTATGAATGAGAGTATTTATGACTTGTTATCATATATTCATATATTATGTCCAATAGGTAATTTAATCAATCAAATTTAAACCACATCAGCTAATATTTTTAACAAATATAATCAAATGTTGAGTAACACTAATTTTTATCCATTCAAAAGAAAAAAAAAGAAATCAAGGACATAAATAATAGTGATGAGAGAATATGTAAGATTTAAGAATAGTCAATCATAAGGTTGGCTGTCCAACTAGAGACCACAAGGTTGGGAGAGTGTAATGTGAAAGAACTGTGAATATCAGGAATCTAAAAGCATTTTTAAGAAGATTTTTGTGAGCGAGATGTTACAAGTGCCAATAACAAGAACAAATAAGAAGCATATAAGAAAAGTAACCGACAAAAGAGAATAGTGAGAGAAACTAATAAGAAAAGAAGAGCTCTGTTAGAAGAGAATAGAGAATCAATGAGTAATGACTCAATAACTACAAGAAACGGTGAGATGAAAGCAGTTATTGCATCAGTGGCAAACTGAAACATGAAATTTGAAATAAGATTCTGTTGCGATACAGAGCCAAGTGCATAAAGCTATAACAAAATGCAGTGAAATCCACTTCACAGACTTCGCTTCACTTCACTTCTATTATCATCAAATAAAGCTGGCTATGCTACCAAATATCTAGATTAATTGGAAATCTTAGAATAAGTAAAGCGACTTTACCAGATACAGTGTTCATTTAACATGATGTTAAATAATTCATTGTATTATCAAATATTAAAAATTCCCATGCAATCTGAAAGTAAAGGTTTACAATTAGTTTTTTCTGTAAGATAACAAAATTTACTGACTTTATTGGCATAAAAATCCTTCAATTTTCAAATTGAACTCGAAGCTAATTTGAAATAAGAAAACATATTTCTGAAAACAAAGAAAATTACTGGTTCCTTTGGTGAAGTGTCGTTAGAAATAAACATTAACTTTATGCTCCAAAACACTCCTGGTGTTCCCTCAAATATAATGGTTTTAATTTAAAAACAAAATGAATGAAAATCTAATATCATTTTTTAAAATATATGCTCTCCATATATAAGAAAAAAATGAACCTACTTTAAACCTAATTCTCTTGAGAATATCTACCAAGGCTATAGATGAATCAAGCATTCAACAAGCTACTCATGTTCCAACTTGAATAGAGCTCATTCATGTCAATTGATTAAATAATTGAACAAGCTTCAGCTCCCACCCAAATTTATGCTCGTTTACTTTCTTTTGTAGTCCAACATTACTCGGACACTTTACATTGCATTGTTTAAATTGTATTTCAAAGCATACCTATTTGAACTTATAACCCATGTGGGCGAGTTTATGAGTGGTAAGATTTTCTTTATTCAAGCAGATACGCTGGATAAGCTTTTAAGGTCCATTTTCTCTTCGATTTTCATATTTCCCTCACTCTCATTATACTAAAAGCAACTAAAACAATTCTATCTATCTATCTATTTATTTACTCCCTTAGTATGCTGAAAACAACAAAAATACTTTATGTATAAGCGACCCCAGGAACCTTGCAATTGAAGTTCTCATTCCAAGTACTTAACTAGCCCTTTACTTAAAGCTAATCCTAATAGGCTTGGGCCAAGGATCTAGTAAGCCAACAAACAAAGCCTGAGCATTTAAGCAAACGACAACTGCCACCGCCCTCGCCATGAAAACGTCACGTCAATCTCCTACCATGGACCTAAAAACATCAACAACCTCCCAAGATAGTAGATGAAGCCCAATACAACAACCTCATGTTACTATGAGGCAGGCTGAAAATGTGTAACATCTAAACACAAGCAAGCTTTTGACTAGGTCTTCTCCAAGCCATGAATTTCTAAATGCATTCAGAAAATATACAATCTAAACAAAACATGAGCAAAAAAAAAAAGCTTCTTCAAACTCAACAGAGCTAAAAGCAACTTCCAAACAAAGCCACACTAATTTCAATGTTTCCAATATTAAATAAGTGAAATTTCCTTTGTATGTAATTCTGATCTTTTGAGGAGCCATAAGGTTCTTTTGCTCGAGATATAGTTCCCAACTCACAAAAGAAACTTTTTTGGGCACAACTACATCCTTAGCTTCTGTATAGAGTGCAATATATTAAGTTTTGTTGGTTGAAAATGTCTCGTTGCATGCAAATGGGCTTGTAAAAGGCAGGAAATCATTCCGAGAAAATGAAGATTGCTTTTTTTTTTCGGAATCAAATACCAAAATCAGAATAAAGGGCCAAAAATTTTCATGTGACAAAGAAAAAAAATTAAATAAATAATCTCAAGTTATTCTCTAATTGAACAGAAAATACTACTTTAAAATGCAGTGCAATATATAACTTTTCATTGACAAGTCAAAGAGAGCTTTAGAAAGTCAGGAAATGACTGTCAGAGCTGAAGCAGTATGGTTTGCCTAAGTGATATAGCTACATCTAAGTAGGGTAGGCAATGTGATTAATTGCAGATCAAACCTTGAAATTACGTATAGCTGTGCACGCAATGTAGCAAGTTTAAGCGAAAAAACATTCTCATGACCATATGAGGTGTGCAGAAGTAGAATAAGTGTTGGAAACATTCCTTAATAGCATAAAAAATTGTTGGAAAATAATGGAAAGCAAAGCAGATTTGCAATTTCACCTTTAAGGTTCGAGTTTCAGCATTTCTCATAATTACAGATATACAAGGAAAAATGCAGATCTGTTAAAAAAAAATCTTTTTAAAGAAAGAAAAGCAAATTTAAGAGATATTTTAGCTTTTGTAGAAGGTATAGATCTGCATCTAGAAGGGTAAATGATATTGTAAGTTCTAGAAGAGTGAACATGTAACAGCCAAGAATTTCAGAATGCTTCAGCAGAAAGAGAGCAACAAAGACACAAAAAAATTGTTAAATTCTAGGTAGTAGGAGGACAAACACAACAGAGTTGGAAACCATATGAAAAATTCTAAAAAAACTAGAACCACTTATTTATTAAATAAGCATCATGCAAGCGTATTATCCCATAAAAACAAGAAGCTAATACCCTTCAAGCAGTAGGAGGCTGAATTAGTATTCTGATTATAAGATAAATTCAAAATTCCACTGCACCACTTGTAAATTGCAATAGCGGCTCTCCTCAAGACCATAGG